GAGAATGTGAAGAACAAATATCCTCCTTACCACCTGGGTTGCACACTGCAAAAAGAGGCACCATAACTTGAAGCACAACCAACAATTTTGGTTTTGCATCAAGTGCTCGGAAGATGGCCAGAAAGACAGTTTGGGGTGTGGAGGAGATCTCTCTCTCTCTCTCTCTCTCTGTGTGTGTGTGTGTGTGTGTGTGTGTGTGTATAAACACACACACAGTTTAGCAGACTGGGGGTAAAGAAAAGCACGCCAATATTTTTAAAGATTTACGACAATGGACTTAATATATTAGGAAGAGTAAGTGACAGCATATTCTTATCTAAAATTATGTCCCTCTCATTTTTCATAGGTGAACAAATTGCTTTCGATTACTAAGATGCTTTGACAAGGTGACCTTCTATTAGGAAGCTATTTGCTATTTGAGCTGAATTTACTATTCCAGAAGAGACAAAAAATACCTATGCATTACTTGGTATAGAAAGTCTATCATAACTATCTCATCCCTGCCCTATCCTGTTTATGAAAATGATCCCGAACAAGGATGATCAGGAAGCTGGAAACCAAGCCCTGAAAGAACTGGGCATGTTTAGCCTTGAGAAAAGAACACAGAGGGGAGACAGGATAGCACTTTTCAAAGATCTGAAAGGAAGTCCTACAGAAGTAGAAGCAGAATCTGTTCTCAATCATCCCAGAGTGCAGGACATGTAGCAATGGACTCAAGCTACAGGAAGCCAGATTTCAGCTGAATATCAGGAAAAACGTCTTAACTGTTAAGAGTAGTACGACAATGGAACCAATAATTTCAGGGGGAGGTGGTGCGCGCTCCAACATTGGAGGCAACTATCTGTCAGATCTGCTTTGATTTGCATTCCTGCATTGAGCAGGGGGGTGGACTCAATGGCCTTCTATAGGCCCCTTTCAACTCAGTTATTCTATGGTTCTATGGAAAGAGCCGGGAGGACAGAAGACTGGCCGATAAAGCATGGTGGTTGATTGCCATCTAGTGGCAAAGCAATGTCAGTGGCAAGTGGACATCCAGAGTAGAAGAACAAGGACGGGAGACGCTTTTAGCAGAACTTGCAAATGTCAAAATTTCCATCACCTCTTGCTTTCTACTATTGATGTTTCCTACCTAACCATAAAAACACCAGAGGGAGTGGTGAGGAAAGGCAGGGTGGCCACCTCTTCAACTCACCGACTCAAATGTTCAAGCGCAGTGCAGCCACGCGGACAGAGTTGGACCCAGAAGGGCAAAAAGCTTTTTACATAAGCAGCCGTTGTCACATCAGGAAATGAACGCCAGTTTGCCAGGATGCAACTCAGTGCTTCGAACCAGCAGGTTGTTTTTCCTCCGAGTTCCTAACGCTGACATTTTAGCGCCAGGTGTCTAGCAGTTATTTCCTTAAAAATTAACAAGCTTTTCCAAGCACCGGACTTCAGCGACTGATCAACAACAGAACATTTTAATTCCTGCTGAAATCTAATTTTAGCACAAGGCACAACAGAACACAGATTCTTAATAGACAGGCTTGTGGCTGCATTGTAGAGTTTAATGTGCTAGAAAATCCCCTTTTTAACACAGTATGTGCAAAGGGAGTACCTGCCTGACTGCCTTAAAAGACTGGTCACAGGTAACCAAAGGTGGGCTCCAGATACAAAAACGTCTAGGGCCTGAAGCAGTAACATTCCATTGTGCTTAATCACTCAAACTAAGCTACTTAATATGCATAACAGGTACTAGCAACATCAAAACTGGGAATTTCCACACATTTTGGGGGAAAGAAACTATGGGAGTTGTGTCAAAAAAAGACACAAAACTAGCTAACAGGAAGAATTACAGGGCACAGGACCACAGAAAGGCAAGATGGCTAAGACACAGATAGATGCTATTGACCACTAAGTGAAAAAAGGACCTATAAACAAACCACAGATTACAAACATAATATGGAGAAAATTCAGATACCTGCCAGAAGACATGTGGATAGCAGTATAAGAAAAGAAAGTCATGGGTGCATCTGCTGGCTTTGAACACACACACATTTCATTTCTCACTGTGATATGGGAATTAAAAAGGATCAGAAATCTCAATCGGGCAGAATACGAAAACAGAACACTTATCTCCCCAAGACTGTGGTAGTAATTTCACAGTGGTCCTTTCACTAACATCTGCGAACTTTGTGTCAGTAAGGAGGGGAACTGCCAGACAAAAGTTATTCATAAGAGATAGGACAAGTTAGGATGCAACCTTCACAAATCAAGAACCACCACACATTCATTTGTGGTAAAAGGTACTGTATGATAGAGAGCTACCCTGCAGGACTGTCAAAAGGATAATGGACAAAGTGCCTCTGAAGCTCTCTGTTCTTTGTTGTGTAAATGCCCAATATTATTGTTCTTGAGTAACTCTCCACCCTAACACATTCAAATAATTATAAGATGTTTGATTAGAAGATATTGCTTATATGTACGCTTGGTGACCATCCTCTTTCAGACTGTTACCTGCTTGCCAGACGGACGTCCCAACTTCTTCCTGATGGGTCTTCTTTGACTGAACAAACCCGAAAGCCTCCTCCAGGAACTGTATTTTCTTGCTGAACTGCATCTCTAAGACAGGGATCACCTCTGGCATCTTTGCAGACAGCAACCGATAGGCGATGTCTGGCTTGCCGATGAACCTCTGCCGGACACTGATTTCATATGGTGTATGAACTTTGACATCGTCAACATCCTTCTTGTCAAATCGATGAAGGAGCTGAGAATTGGCGTCAACTATCTCCAGGCCAGAAGCCAAGAGAGTAAGTTTGCCCGGCTTGACGTTAGAGTCTGCCCTTTCGGTGATAATAACTGGGATTTGTATTATTACACCATCTTTACTTCCAGGATCAGAGGCTGTGGGAACTTCCTTTGGCTTTGCCCCTTCTAAGGGTCCTTTCATCAGTCTGCCACTAAATGGCCACCAGGAGGGAGATTCCAATTCGGATAATAACCTGTCAGGAAGAGACACATAGGAGGTTGAAAACACAGAAATCTATCCCTCTGTATTCGCATGTACCGCAGCACTGATTATCCTGGAAGAGCTATAGTGCTGGAGGGGATGCCAGAAAACCGGCACATATTTTCATATGGGGTGGGAATGCAACAGTGTGATGAAATTTTGGCAAATAGTATTTGGAGAAATAAGAGAAATAACCAAACAAAATGTAGAAGTATATCCTAAAATAGCACTTCTATCAATCTTTGATAAGGTGGAATATAACTGGGCAACTACAGAATTAATTTCTAATTTAGTCACAGCTGCTAGATTAAACATAGTCAACTATTAGAAAATAAAACATAATTTTCAATTAAGTGAATGATATACAGAGGTATGGAATATAGCTATCAATGACAGATTAACATGTGATATTAAAGTTTTAAAAAGGAGTGCTTAAAAGGCATGCTTTTGCAGAAATTTGGGGAGATTTTACTGATTATGCATTAATACAGGGGAAAGGAAGAGCTCCATCGCAAGAAACGTTACAATTTTGGAAGGGAAATGGGAATCCTTGAAATAAAGGAAAAGGTCCAGTCCTCTATTGGTCCTGGGTTTTTTTGGGGGTGGGGGTGGGGAGAGAACTCTGTTTCAAATTTGTTTGTGTATAATTATTATATTTTATTTATTTGTTCATTGTTCTGTTGGTTGTTCTTTTCTTTCATACAGTGTTTTCATTTAATAAAACAAAGATTTAAAAAATATATAATCAGTCTTTAATCATGTTTTTGTCTGTTTTGCTTTGTTTCTCTGGATTTTTCCTAATATATTTTAGTATATTAAGTTATAGTTAGAATACGTCTATTTGAATCAACGGAACTTAAGGAGCAATTGTCCCATCACTCACAGGTTTTCTGTCTCCATTCCAGTTTTTACTTGCCTCTTTCTGGGCTTTCTTCAATTCAGCTCTATCTCCCTATATTTGTTCCCACACCTCTCTCCCTTTCCATCACAAACTGCTCCACAACCTTGGACAAGGATTTTCAGGAATAAACATTTTTCATGAACAACTCACCGGGAATACCTTCGCTATGATAAATCAGGATGCTGATGACTGTTACATGGCAATATGAATACTCCACCAACTGAGATCGGGAAGGCCTGTTACCAGCAACTTACAGGACCTCAGTATTCTCGCTTTACAAAAGGTTGGAGCAAGGCTAGGAACCATCTGTCTAGAGCCAAACTTACTATTTTCCCATGCATAAGACTATACTTTTGTCTAAAATCATTACACTAAAAATTGAGGGTTGTCTTATACATGGAAGAAAGTTGATGAGAGAACAAACCGGCCCATACCTTGCCTCTGCAAATAGGCTGCCCCCAATCAGGAGACCCGGCTTCTGACAGTCAGGAGACTTAGCTTCCTCCAATCAGGAGCCTTATGTAACTGATGTCAGATGATGCTATACAAACCAATTGAAATACACTTCATTGAAGGTGGAGCCTGTAGGCTCAGATTCAATAGGGACTCGTAATGTCAGAGCGTTCTGAGCCCAAAGGCTGAATACTTAAAGCTAAGTTTTCTTAATTTGGGGTTAGAAAAGTGTGGGGGGGGAATCTTATACATGGGGGTATCTCATAGATGGAGAAATACAGTATATATATCACATCCCAGAAATCAGAGATTAAGGCAACTATTCTGAAGCAAGAAGCTAGCCAAACAAGGTGAAAAGCGCAGAGTGCATTCTGGATCCTGAAGAACCTCAATTAATTTGCAGACCGCACTTCACCTCAAATCATAACAACATTAACTGATCAGAAGCTTGGTGGTTGTTCAAGTATACAAGGAAACAAAGGTGGGTTCCCTCTAAAACGTATCTGACTTCCGTTTGACAGAAAGTTCCAGTCGTTCCTACTTCAAAAGCCAATTATGAAAAGCTCACTGAGGCAAGAGGATTAGAAAAGAATCCAGAAGGACAGAAAGCCAAGTCATTCAGTAGCTGCTGCTTTCCAGGAAGTTCTACACTGCAAAAAAAGCCACTGTTAAACTTCCACCTATGAACAGTGGATTTCTGTCCCTGTAAAGAAGCGCCTGCAAGTCTCACTTTTGCTAATGTAGGAACCGTTCCCAAGGATACCCTCCACCTACGGATCTTGCCACGTACCTCCCCAAGGCCCACAGTGACCTGCCGGTGGAATAAGCAATGAAAGAAACGTCAGTCAATTATCACCTCATGGAGAAAACTGTCTCAGTGTCTGGGAGACATTTTTAAACGGGAGGGCTTTGCATCTGTTTTTGGTGTTGATTTGTTGACCATTTTTAGTGTGGCATTTGTTTCGAGTCTTTTTACTATTTGAATACTTACTGTTTTAAGCTTTTAAATACTGTCTTCTAATGAGGTAGACTGGCCTGGGTCCTCTTTAAGGAGAAAAATGGGGTAAAACTATTTTACATTAAATAAATAACATAAGCTTTTCAGGAACTGGCCCCATCCGGATGGTGTCATCTGCATTAGATGAAATGTTGGCTTGCCACTGAATTTCCTTCAGAAGCCGGTGTTTAAAAATGAGCAATGTGTGCTGCTTACTGTGTTTTCCCGTGTATAAGATGATACTTTTGTCTAAAATTTATTGGCAGAGCAGGTGTTCGGCAAAGCCCCGAGTGTGCACTCAGCAAAGCTTTGAAGCACCAAACACCGGTTTAGCCAGTAAATGAACCGGTATGAACTGCTGAACTGGTGGTTAACGCCGGTCTCTAGCAGTTATATATTCCCCTACCTGTCTGCTACATCCATCTCTGATTCAATCTTGTTCAGGCCCTTCATGATGTTGTCAAACTGTTCGCCTTGGTGGTCAAGCACTTTTGCGGTGTCTTCTAGGCGTTTCTGAGAGCTTGTAAGCAAACCGGTTAGCTCTTTCCCTTTGGCTGTCTGGGGACAGGCGGCTTGGGCTCCAGCCCCCTGAGCAGAGAGCAGCTGCTCCCTCCAAAAGTGTTCCAGGACATTGAAGACCACATTGCGGTTGGGCTGAAGGGAGCTGAACCAGTGTTTCGTGTTATTCTCCAAAATAGTGAGGGAACTGAAGATGAAGTGGGAAGATTCCTTCTTGATCTCACTGATGCAGGAAAGATGGAAGCTGGCCACCAGCTCTCCAGACTTGTCAGCTGTAAATCTGACCGAAACGGGAGTCAGCGAGAGTTTGCCAGGAATCCATCGTTTCTCTTGGTTGACGTAATAGGAACAGGGCCACGTATGGATTCGAATATCCTCATTCATCACCTTCCTCCTTGCTTCTTCTTCCTCCACACAAATGAAGCAATCAACAGCTTAAAAAAAGTAAACAAGTGATGTAGTGAATGATTCAAAGTTAAGACATTTCTGGAAATCTTCTTTACAATTGCGGCAACGTGCACAGTGCAAATCATTACCCCATGAGGCAAATCATTACTCCATGTAGAGGCCTGTCTTGTAATTCTGAGAAAACTATTTTCAAGGTTTATTTTGGGTGGAGGGACCATAGTCACATGGGTGGTGTGGCTCTCTGAGGTACAAGGGAGAACAAAATACAGCCCCTTGGAAGTTGCCGATCCTTGCTCTAAAGCCTAAGCCAGGGAGAAGAACCCGCAACCCTCCAGATGATGGTAGACTGCAACTTCCATCAGCATTCCTCAGTAAAACCAATGATCCAGGATGATGGGAGATGTTGTTCAATAAGACTTGGACAGCTACCTATTTGCCATCTGTGGCAAAGGTGAAGTACATCAGCATTCCTCAGTAAAACCAATGATCAGAGATGATGGGAGATGTCGAGGGGTGGCATAAAAACCCTCTGCCTAAATGAAAGGGATAATTCCGTTTTGCCGAACAATCATTGAAATGTATCTGGGATGCCAAAAAACGCAGCATCACAGAATCCATCCCCACCTGTACCTTCAGGGGCCCATCCTCCAGCACCTTGAGTTCAGCAGCAACAATTTTCACCACAGCTTGCCTTTCAGCTACCATCTCAGAGGCATTCCTTGTCCACAAACCCATCTAATCTCCTCCACAAGAAAATCTAAGCCGGTCATGATTATATGTTACAACAGCCAGTTTTTTTTTCCTATTGGAAAGAACCCATTCTTTTGTGGGACAAGTGTCCTGCCACTCAATTTCACCATATAACCTGGTGTTCTAGTATTATGACAAAAAGAGAGAAAGAGAAAGCCCTCCAGTACACATAGAAGATGTATAGTCAACCAACTTTCGACTAAGGCTGTTGACACAATTACAGCATTAAATCTGTGACATGATAACAATTGGCTAGGCTTATCAACAACCTCAAGATTACAGCCTGTTGCCAGACACTGGATCATTATGCTCAGAATATTATTCTATTACAAGTCCTTTGATGAATCATTACAAACAGCTACATGTCGGTATGATTAACATGTCATACCCAAACAAAATCAAAATCGAAACTAAGTTTTTAAAACTGTATTAATCAATATAGCAATTTGCAAGATAAAGTCCGTCATACAGACAATCTGATTTACCAATGTGAGAAAAACATTTGAATTCTCAATTACAGTTTTAAAACTATTAGATGCCACTGATCCTTCTAGGGATTGCAATGTTAAAATGCTGTTCGCTTGATTTATCATCCTAATAAACAAAAATTGAATTGCCAACATAAAAAATTGGATTTCAAATAAAATGTGACTAATTTGCTCTCATCATAGCTCAGAGCTAGAGATTCTGTGCTTCAATTTCATCTTTGGCAGTAAAGGCTACCATGACATTTCATCATCTGTCGATTGAAAAGACTGCTGCAGCAGCCAATCAACCCGCTGCGCATGCATCATTACTGGGAAGCATGGAGTCCTCCCCACACTTAAAGCATGAAGGAAGCAACTCTTAGATCTGCAATCAGTGAGCGTTTGACTCCCAACAGACAATATGTTGGGAGCATTTGATGTATATGCACTTAAAAGAATGAACAGTGAAAGACCTCCTCCCGGTTTAATAGGCAGTGTCCCCTCAATCAATCAAATAGATCTATTTAACTTTCAGCCTCAGTAAACAATACAGCATCAACAACCTTGTGCACAGACAATAAATAGACAATTCCAGGTACTTAAATGGAAAGGTTTACAGTAATTGCTGCTTGTTTCCTGGAGGGGGAAAAAAGAAATCTGCTGTCAAAAAGCACAACACTCTTTGCCTAATAATGTGCACAGCAAAGTGGCAACAATACAAGCATTGCAATCTGGCTCAGATACAGAGTAGACCTGCTCTAGAGGGGCGGGGTATAAATCTAATTAAAGTAAAGAAAGATCACCGGAGCAGTGCAAGATGAAGGGATATAAAAAGGGCCATTGTAAGAGTGACAGGCCAAATCTAATTAAAGTAAAGTAAAGTAAAGAAAGATCACAGGAGCAGTGCAAGATGAAGGGATCACTCATGGGTATAAAAAGGGCCATTGCAAGAGTGACAGGCCAAACTTGACACTTCTCCAGATTTAACCTAGAGCACAAATTTGACCAGTGAAGTCAGTTAATACATTCAATTTATAGTCATCCACAATAGGAAAAAATATGGGTTCAAGTAACTGGATATACACAAGTTCACGCAACTCAAGAAAAAAACAACCCAACTTTTTACAAGTTAGCAGCTGCTTTGCATGCTGCGGTTTTTCTATGCCACTAGCACTTTGCAAGGTGTATTTTATTTTCACAAGAGCTATGATTTTCCCAATTTACCTTGTCTGATAGTGGATTCGGGACCTGCAAACGATTTCCTGATGGTTACCATTTCCGTGGTTGTTGATTTATAATATAACTGAGGCATTTCTCATTTTCAGAGAAACATAAAAATTGCCCAAACTATCTCTGTTAAAACCACAAATGTTAAAAAGAGAGAGAAGACGTAATGTACAAACACTCCCACCAACCTGAGATTAAAAACTACAGGAAAAAGGATTCTTAAAATGAGCAGATACTTGCCAGCCTGTCCACAACAGAAGGAAATTAACAGCAAAATTTTCGATGTTATGAAGCCTGGGATTATGATTCATCTTCAGCCTGTGAGCCACATATTAACTATCTGACTACTCATTTTCTCATCATATTATGGCACTGTGGCCAAATAAACATCACATGCAGACCACGCTAGTAAATTAAGTATCACATCACAACATGTGATGATCTCACTAGATGAGGAGCCCAAAACGCCCTGACCCCACATATCAGAGGACACTGAGATCAGACTAAACAGATTGCTCAGTTAGAAGGACCCATCAGGAGGAAATAGCTAGAGGTTTCTCCTCCTGTCACCCACACTGTTTGCATGTTTGCTAAGATATGGGAATAGGGGGAAGGATGGTTTGATACCTGGGCTTCTCTAAAAGAAATGTTTGCCTAAACATTGTCCCTGTTTTCAAAAGCCCAAAGCAGCACCAGAAAGAAAGCACAGAGAAACTCCATCGCTAGTGCCTTGGCATGAATGCTTTTTAAGTTTAAGAAGAGAGCAGCACGAATCCCACCAGGTAAGACCAAAGGTCCACCTAGTCTTATGTTCTGCTCATACACTTATCAAGCAAGCTTTCCTGGGAAGCTCACTAACAGGAAATGAAGACAAGAGCCGCTTTCCACTTGTGAGCTCAACAAATGGTGTTGGCAGATATACTACCCTCTATACCGAAGGTAAGACACAGTAATAATAATAGGATGGGTGGAGAAGAGCCGCTTTCCACTTGTGAGCTCAACAAATGATGTTTGCAGATATACTACCCTCTATAACGAAGGTAAGACACAGTAATAATAACTAATAGGATGGGTGGAGAAGCCTTTTGAACTGGGGATTATCCAAGCCTAAAGTAAAACTATTTCTGCTTTCATCTTCCTCTGTTATCAGTAATGAATCCCCTTAAATAATTCATATAACTACTACGAAGTACAATGCACAGTGCACTTCAGTAATTCTTATTATCATTTTATTTCCATTTCCAACAAGCAAAACACATTTCTCAAATACGGCATTATTTATCTTGCTCTTTGCAAAGCTTTGGAACTCTTCTCCTTGTAAAGAAGTACTGTAAATACGTGAGCTGCAAAATTAAACCACACATAAATACATCACAGAGTGTTAAGAATTCCCAGAATATACACACAGTACATGGGTGACCAACTCATGATAACACCCCACTTATTTTCTTCCTGGAATGTATGTTGCACTGTTCTTCTAATACAAAAAACACAATTTTCATACTTCTTCCAATTTCAAAACAATCCATGAAATAAACATTGTAGATTCCCCACAAAAACAAAGCATTGTATTATCAAAAGAATGCTATTATCGACAATGCCTTCCAGCTCTGCAGTTCTAAGATGATCATCATTAAATGATGCCTTCCAGCTCTGCATTTCTAAGATGATCATCATTAAATGTGTATCATCAATGCTTTTTTTGGGACAGGCCTGCCACAGCTCTGTGAGTCTTTGAGGCCCATAAAGATTAAGAGGTGTAGAAGCTTTCAAAGAATTTCACAGCACTTTCTTGTTTACTCTGAAACAGACCAACCCGATTCTTTCCCTGAAATCATCCCCAAGAAGACATGCAGGAAATGTTAATACCAGCTGCATTAGAGGAGCGATTTCAAAATGCCAATAAAACAAGTTCACTGAGAACAAAGCCACAAAACCTCATACTGTCCACAAAATTTTGGCAGCGTCCTGTTCATCAAAGTCCACCTTAACACCCAGACACCCAAAGTGACAAAATAAGAGGGGACTAAGAGGGAGAGGTACGTGGTGGCGCTATGGGCTAAACCGCAGAAGCCTGTGCTGCAGGGGCAGAAGACCAGCAGGCGTAAAATCGAATCCACACGACGGAGTGAGCGCCCGTCACTTGTCCCAGCTCCCGCCAACCTAGCGGTTCGAAAGCATGCAAATACGAGTAGATAAATAGGGACCACCTCGGTGGGAAAGTAAAATAGTGTTCCGTGTCTAAGTCGCACTGGTCATGTGACCACGGAAGATCGTCTTCGGACAAAACGCTGGCTCTATGGCTTGGAAACGGGGATGAGCACCGCGCCCTAGAGTCGAACACAACTGGATAAAAATTGTCAAGGGGAACCTTTACCTTTACCTAAGAGGGAGAGGTGGGTGGGGCCTTCAGAACCTTTCAATATCCTCTGACCAGCAACTATCCTTGGGCATAAATAACAAAAGAAATACAGACTGCAGCAAAAACTGTGGTGGATCAGAACCCACTACACTGACTGTACAAAGGAAAACTGTATACACAATCAGTGGGTCAACATACACATGCATAAATAAGTATCTAGAAAAATCGCAAACAACACAATCAAAAGGTGACAAAAAGCAGGAGCTGTAACTCATTTTAATTCAACATCTCAATATGTATCAGAAAAACAGGAAAAACAGTCTTGTGGCTTAAAAACCGAGACGTAAGTTTTTATGAACTGTGGCCTATTTCCTCCAAGAGTTTTTGCATGAGAAGATCTTAAAACTTTGAACAAAAACATGTATGCTTTACAAATTAGTCTAACAAAGGTATTATATAAAAAGAATAAAGAGCCTTTTTTCTCACATCCACCATTGCACCCTCTGCCTTCCTATAGAAGTCAGAAACACAGCCACCATTTACAGTCACAGTGTATGTGTTCTGTCCTATCAAATTGGAACTGACTTGTAGTGGCCCTAATAGGTGTTTCAAGGTAAGTGAGATATTTAAGGCATGGTTTTACCAGTTCTTCTCTAACAGTCAGTTTTTATAGCCGTG